ATTGACTAATCAGTATTTACTGTCTGGATCATTTGATCTCTTCTAGGAACCACTGTCTGTGGCTATGAATCTCCTATTTCTTGGATCTAATTGTGATTAAAATTTTTGCTTTAAACCTTCACATTTTGCAGTTTTAGAATGTCTGCATATTTTAAAATTATCAAGTTTGTGACAATTATAGCATTCAGCTCCATTTGCTGGGGAGTCATCTCGCTTATGTGGCTTGTTCCCACTGCATCTAAAGTATTTCAAAATAGCAGGTGGCATACTTCTCCGTTTCTTGGAAGTTTTTGCTTCAGCGTGTTTTCTGCTCTTGGACCTATAAATTGCACATACTTACTTGGCTTCTTCCATGGATACTTGGATTTGCCACATTCTATCACCCAATATTGTTTTTAGATCTTGATCTACCTTGCAAACTGTCCTACCTTCACAAGTTTTAAATCCTCTTTAGATTGCAATAAATCAGATAATGCCTCATTCATCATCCTGATGAACAAGTGATTCGATATTCATTCATCATACATAGATTGCCAATTGTACACTATCTTGTTAATCCGTATAGGTTGTTGATAAAGACATCAATAGACTTCCCTAGTCCCTACCTCCAATTGTTAAATTTAGCTTATCCAATGATCAAGTTCTATGGATGCTAAATATGCATCAAAGCCTTGCAGAACTTCCTTACATGAAGGTGACGTGTTATCAACATCTTTTCTGGTCAACTCATCATCTTGAATTTACTATGAAATGCCAATTTCATAGAAGAGTACTGACCTGATCTTTCTTGTCCTTTTTTGTTTAACAAGGAGGCTGTTCAAAACCTGAAAAAATGTTCCTTCCAGTTGTGCTATTTGTGGGCCTTCGGCCTTCAAGATTGGCCCTGGAAGTGGTAGCGCTGATTCCGTGTTCCCGTGACACCCTGGAATTATACCTGTTTGAAGCTCTGCTGTTGTTTTCCATTGTGGGGCACTGATTCTGCTCCTGAGCTGCTCCATCACAAGTTCAAAATATTTTCTTTCTTCCACTTGGATCTGCCGTCAAAGTAATTCTGTGGTTTGCAACTTTTGCAGCCTTTCTTAAATGCTTGCTGCTTTTGGGTTATTCTTTGCTGGTTTCAACTGCTACCACATCATATTTTCTTGTTGGGGTGTTAGAGACTTGATTATTTTTCAAATGTCCCTATGAGGCGTAAGCAGTCCATTCTCTGTCTCCACCCAGTGGGTCAGCTAGTGAGTGGTTGGGTGTGCAAGTGAATTCATGTGTGACTGCGTGAGTTATATGACTACATAGTTGGCTCACAGGGAGAGTCAAATCAGGTCACTAATTGGTCACATCAGGTTTGATGGTAATTGGGTCAAGTCAGGGGGACAGTGTTGGGTCAGTGGACAGCGAGGTGAGGTTGGAGAGGGTAGTGGATCAAAGGGATGGTGGTGGAATAGAGTTGTGTTGGGCTCTGTTATTAGGAGGGTCAGTTGTGGTAATCAGTTAAGTTGCACTGGCTGATCACTGTGTTGCATCAGAGACAAACCAGAGTAACATTTCCAGGCTTAGTACTCAGGTAATAAATTGGCCAGGATTGAGAATTGGTTGGCAGACAGGAAATAAAAAAGGAATAAATGGGTTATTTTGGAGTTGTCAAATTTCAAATATTTTCTAGTTTGTGGTTGATACAAAACTAGGTGGGATTGTAAGTGGTGAGGAGGATGTAAAGAGCCTTCAAGATGATTTTGACAACTTGAGTGAGTGGATAAATAGGTAACAGTTACACAGTAATGTGGATAAGTATGAAGTTATCCACTTTGGCATGAAAAACATAATGGCAGAGTATTACTTAAGTAGTGATAGATTGGGAAATGTTGATGTACAAAGGAAACTGGTCGTCCTTATACAACAGTAAATAAAAGTAAGCATGTACCTGCAGCAAACAGTTAGGAAGGTATGTTGGCTTCCATTACAAGAGGATTTGAGTACAGCAGCAAAGAAGTCTTACTGCAGTTGTAATGAGGCTTGATGAGGCCACATCTCAAGTATTGTATGCAGATTTGGTCCCCTACTTGAGGAGGGATATATTTGCCTTAGAGAGAGTACAGCAAAGATCCACCAGACTAATTTCTGGGATGGTCGTGTGAGACAAGATTCAGTCAAATAAAATTCATTGGAATTCAGAAGAATGAAATAGTATTTCATTGAACAAATATAAAATTTTGACAAAGCTTAACAGACTGAATACAGGGATGATGTTTCTCCTGGTTGGGGCATGTCTAGAACAATGGGTCACTCTTTGAATTGCAAAAGTCTGACATGAGGAGAAATCTTTTCACTCAGAAAATGGTAAACCTGTGGAAACTTGTATTGTTTTTTATATTTCTAGCTCATATTCTCATACTCTAATTTCTCTCTCCTTTATTTTTCAGTCATTTCTTACTGTTTTTTATATGCATTCCAATCTCCTGACCTGCCGCTCATTTTTTTGCAGCATACTATTTCCAATAACTGTGGCTAAATCAAGTTAGTCTCAAAATACCACACCAGCAACTTGTGTAAAATCTCATTAATTAACACAAGTTGAGGTCCCATCCTATTTCAGAACACCTGATTTTTTTTTCACAGAGATGCACAAAGTTGTGGCCTCGACCTGTGATCTGGCTGTGTGACATCAGGATTTGATCAAATCAAGATCTTTGGCTTCAGGAGGGGATGCACTATAAGCACTTACCACCTTTAGTAATGCTTCACATGCAGTGGCACATCATGTCTTGGGGAAGCAGAAGTCAGCCTCTGGAGCCATCATTTTTGCACGGGCTGTGCAAACAAATTTCTACGCCAGAGTTTCAACATATAGCACTTCAATGATTTGAAAACTCTTGTTGACATCCCATTTTCCACTGCTGTGATTGTGTATTTTATCAATATTGCTACTTCCACTTTCTTTTCATTTATTCATGGGATGTGGGCATTATTGATTAGGACAGCTTTAATGTCCATCCCTAAGTGCCCTTGAAGAGGTGGTGGTGAGCTGCTTTCTTGAACTTCTGCAATCTTTGAAGTGTGGATACACCCATAGTGCCACTAGAAAGGGAGTTTCAGGATTTTCAACTAGGTGACAATAAAGAAAGGTCAACAGGTGTTCATTGGATTCCCTCCTCTTGGAGATGGTTACTGCTAGCAATTGTGTGACATGAATGTTAATTGTCACCAATCAGTTCAAGCTTGAATATTTGACATGGAATGCTTCAGTATTTGAAAAGTCACAAATGATGCTGAACACTGCAATCATCAACAAACATCTCCACCTCTGCCCTTATGACAGAAGGAAGGTCATTGATGAATTACCTAAAGATAGTTTACCCTAAAGCACTATCCTGAAGAACTCCTGTGGTGATGTCCTGTGCCTGAGATGACTGACAACAGCCTCAACATCTTCCCTTGTGCTAGGTATGACTTTAACCTGTGGAGAGATTTCCCCTTGGGTCTCATTGCCTTCAGTTTTGATGGGGCTCCTCAATGCCACACATAATCAAAGGCTGCAGATTATCTAGCCATTATTAAATTGTTAATTACATAAGCCTTGTGTATGCAAATTGGCTGCTGCATTTCCTACATTATAAGAATGAATTCATTTCAAAATGTCTTCATGTAAAATTCTTTGGAATGACCAGAGGTTGCCAAATGCAATAGATAAATGCAGTTTGATCTTAGTGCAAGATAATATTAGTATACCCTAAAAACAATGATAGCTACCTCCACCTCAAACATTCGTTTTGGATTTCTTTAATCTAGCACTAGTTCTTAATTGTTACTTCTGCCAATTTATTTTGTGCTTTGCAATCGAATTCCTCATAGCTCAATGCTTCTTCTAAAATGCTGAATAATAGGGGGTAGGGGAATTGGTCTGGCTGGGATGCTCTTCGGAGGGGCAGTGTGGACTTGTTGGGCCGAATGGCCTATTTCCACACTGTCGGGATTCTATGATTCTATCAATAGCTGGCACTTATTAGGAGAGTGAAATTCTTCAAAAGGATAACTGTGCAAAAAAAATGTCAGCTTGAGTATAAAGTAAAAAATCCCACTGACTATATGTTTTGCTTTCAAATAAAACTACTATAGGAATACCTGTGTTCTGTTTGAGGTCAAAATTTCCATTGGGCAGTGCGCCTCCCAAACTGTCAAATCATTATCAAGTGTTTTGTACTTCTTCTGAAGGTAAAAGAGCTTAACCACTGAGTAATCAATATCCTATTTTTACATCTCACAGCTCATCGATGGATCAGATTTTGAATTATTGGTATTTGTGAAAAAATGCAACACTTTTTGTTTAACAACAGAACTAACTTATTGGTATAGATCTAAGAAATTACAATGCAGTTCAACTGCACTCACATCCCCCACATCCAAATTTCAACATTTCATTAAGCAACGAAAGATTTATTGATGCTTCATGGTGCACTTATATATGTGTGTCAATTAAATGCTGAATTCATTTTCTGTTTCAAATTGGAACCTCTACACTTCTGGTATCAGTGAAAAACATGCATTTCTTTGAAAATTACACAGAATTGCAAGCAATATGATGACAAGTACCTTCACACAGTTGAATGCAGCTCTCTCACACGTTCATTTTTCATTAATTTTACAAACACTGTGAAATTTATCATATTGCATTGCCATCTATGCCAGATTTTCAGTACCTAGTTAGCTGTATTGTTATCAAATCGACATTAATGGAATTAAAACAAAGTGCTGGAAAAATTCAGTTCAAGAAGTCATAACAAACTCAGAACATTAACCATGTTTCTCTCTCCACAAACGCTGTCAAGCCTGCTTAGTTTCTCCAGCATTTTATGATTTTAGTTAGGTTTCCAGTCTCCACAGTATTTTGCTTTTATTTGAGCATTATAGGAAACATATTTGATACCATTAACGCATTGTAATCAGATGCACTGTGCATATAAATGCAACTTTAATAAAATATTTCTTACTGTAAGGTTATATCTTACCTGGGCCATCCTGACACTTTGGCTAAAACCAGGCTTCCCAACGGAAGTTGCGAGTAGACAAACTTCTGTCCACACTTGTGGAATACAGATTCCTCAGGGTATCTCTCTTCAGGCACAGAACAACAATTAAACCAAGAGTCACTGTTCATGTGACAGTACCAAGGCTTGCTTGAATCCACAAGTGCTGCATCATTATTTGTTAGAAGTCTCCACTTCAAGCATTTTTCATTCTCACACTGAATCCATATCTTGTCTCTGTAAAATCCTCTAGCAACAAGATCTTTGACTTTGTCTTCCATTTTATAAGACCACTCTGAAGTACCTTGAAAAATCAAAATGAATTTATCAAATATTAATAAAAGAAAACTGTCAGCAGCCACCTACTAAATGGCTGAGCCTAAATAGGAGGCCAAAATAAAGCTTAGAAGAATGATTTGGGGAGCAACGTATTAAACAAACCATATTAGTAAAGAACTTCAATCCTTGCATTCCATTGTGTGGCAAAAAACCCTATTTCTTATCTCCATGAAAGGTATGCTTATATGCTCAAAGATCACTTGATTCCAGTAAAAAAAAGCCAGTGGCTTACAGCACATATTTAACTTCAGTAGTTACCAAGGGGATCACAACCTTATACTACTGAACAAATCAGATGATCCTTTCCAATCCAGCAATTGTCCAAATAATTCTATCTCTTCTAGTTTCCCTGAATTGTCCTTAAACATGGATAGTTATTTCCAAAATGCCTGCACCCTTGAGAAAACAACATTTCCAAATGCGTTGCATTACAATGAAACATATCACAGAAAAATTTCAGATTTTCATTCATTCATCTTCATTCAACAATATTAAATGTATATCATTTCTTGTCATCTTCTTACTTTCTAAACAATTCCATTTTCATTGTATTCTTGATTGTGCATCCTCAAAGATATATTCCTTTCAAATAATTTGAACACTCTTTAAGTTATAATGTTGAAATAGCAAACATCACCACAACAGCCTAGCATAATGATATTTAATCATTTCTCCAAAAGTTCAACTTCAACTTTGTAATGTTTAAGAACCAATAATCCTTTTCTACTGGAGAGATTTTCTTTTGAGACAAAAATAGAAATTGCTGAAAAAGCTCAGCAGGTCTGGCAGCATCTGTGGACAGAAATCAGAGTTAACGTTTTGAGTCAAGTGACCCTTCCTCAGAACATTTCATGACATTCCTGGGCAGCACTGATATCTTGCAGGTACTGAGCATGTGGTGACCACCTTAAGTCAGTATAGAGCTTGGTGGGCTTTGAGACAGAGACGATGAACAATAGGAACACCATTAAATGTACAGCCACATGGTATTTCCTACAGTAATTAAAAATCACAGATGACACAATTTCCACAGAGTTAGAACTAAACAATTTATTTTCATGAGGAGATTGATGAAGCTGGGGCAGTGGATGTTGTCTACATAAACTTTACTGAAGCATTTGACAAGGCCCCTCATAGAATCCCTACAGTGTGGAAGCACGACCCTCCAAAAAGTATCTCACCCAGATAAAGAGTATTGGTGAGAGGGGAAGAGTTTAAAGGAGATGTGCGAGGCA